CTTCATCGACAATCCCATCTCCGAATGTGACATTGGAAAATGCCTTGCCTGTGAGCTAAGGTTATTCGCTACGGTGTGTGGCTGAGTAGTTAACGTGTCTAGACTAGACGCTGAACCACTACAACTCGGATTCGAGTCTCACTGAGGGTGATGGCGTTTGGACAAGGTCGAAACGGTAGCCCGGTCCAGTTTGGATGAGAATACGATTTAGGAAGAAAGGAAATGTGAAATTTAGTGGAAACACGATTTATACTCATAAGATTGTGGGAAAAAGTCAACTATAGGTCCTTCACCACCTCACGTGAAATATACCAAATACAAACCTTGCATCACATATACTGGTAGTCGCGAAAAGCAACTTACAAAGTAAAAATATGAGATGTATTCACACAATTTCGTTCAAGTTGATGAAGGACTGGTAGAAGAATTTTCCCACAATGATATGAATTCTTCTACCAGTCCTTCTTCACCTTAAACGAAATTGTGTGAATATATCTCATACTACTGAGTTACTGGTAGTCTCAAAACAATACTTAATGCAAAAAATGAAGTAACAATAAACCACAACTCTTCAAGAAGGCAAGATAATTCTACTTCTTGACCAACTGTCCATTTTGGGCGAATTTTGTGAGGCATGTCCACACTCCCACTGTCTCCCCCATACTTTCCCCAATCGTGCTGAAAATGTTGCTTCACATCTCGCTCCTCAAAACTTGTGTTTAAGTTTTCTTGATTCTTGAGTATGATGAAGCGATTCGGACGTCAGTCCCACCAGAAGACGTGTGCGGATTTCTCTTGGCCAACCGTCGATTGGCCTTACTTGAGCACTCTTGGTGATGCTGTTTCCGAGGTAATCTCCTCCAAATCCGGTTGTAGGCCCATCTCGAAACGTGTCTGTATGTCTATTTGTATGTGTTTATGTGCCTTTATGTGTTAGCTTGTGTACGAAACCAGTCGTGATAGCTCAAAGTTGTTGAAACAGAATGCAGTGTCTGTTCTTGGTCATCGAGGTTTAATAACCTTCCACTCACTTTTCTTTAAATCTTAATCATCACTACTTTGAATATATGAAGACCAAGATGTTGTGGCCTCTGGTGTGGTCGCAGTCTCCTTTCGATTGATAGAAGTGGGTTGTCATGATTCCCAGCATCTGACAGTGGACTTGATACATTCTCAAACGTTTCGCCGGCATCGTAGTCGCTTTGCCATTCCCACGGATGTCGAGGGATTGACTTCACTTCTCTCTTTGACGAGTTCGTATCTTGGTGCGGAAGCTGACAGTGGACTTGATACATTCTCAAACGTTTCGCCGGCATCGTAGTCGGCATCATCAGTGAGTTTTGCTATTCGCCGCACCAAGCTACGAACTCGTCAAAGAGACAAGTAAAGTCAATCCCTCGACAACCGTTCTGCTGGAAACGGTTACACTATTACTCCTATTTCTCTCATTGTCTCGGATATGAAGGTTAAGAGTAGATAGATAGACAATGAGAGAAAGAGGAGTGATAGTGTAACCGTTTTCGGCAGAACGTTTGTCGAGGGATTGGCTTTACTTATCTCTTTGACGAGTTCGTAGCTTGGTGCGGTGAATGGCAAAACTCACTGATGATGCCGACTACGATGTCGGCGAAACGTTTGAGAATGTATCAAGTCCACCGTCAGATGCTGGGAATCATGACAACTACTATGGCAGA